ATTCTGCACAACAGCCTGTTGTGGTTGCTTTCGGAAATTGTGCAATAATACATTAAGGTAAGTAATGACGGCATGCTTAAAAGGTATTCTGTGGATCGTGTTTTCAGCGTTTGCCGCTAAGCTAGCAACTCACGGATCACAAAGACGGCTGCTGTGCCTATTTCAATTGTATAATAAAGTTTAGGGTCATTAAATAATACAATTAAAGGCGCTAGATTCTTTAATTGGTGTTTCTAATAGTTTGTTAATCAAACCATCTCTTTTCTTAACAGATGACGGACTCTTCCACCTCGTTCAAAGTGATGAAGGGCATGAAACCACAAAGGCCAGAATTAATGGTAATGCATAGCATATCATTGATATTTGAGCTGCCAAATAGGAAATATGGTACAGTAGATTATTTGGCTTTATGCGTGATGTACTAAAGGACACTATGTGTTGAATCTCCAGATATAAACGATGCGGAAGCATTTTACAGGTTCCTGTAGTTGAAAAGGGGTGTATAATGTGGGTCAAAAGTTGTTTTATTTATTAAAACAACTAATGACTAGGAAAAAAAATACAATTTCTTCCCAGTGTTTTTAAAATTTCTTTTTAAAAGATAACAAAAAATGTCATAGCAATCATGGCTAAATACACAAGTATTGCTCTAAAAAGACCTGCATTTTTAAATGGGTTTTCTTTGGGACTCTGTTTACATAAAGAAATGGGAGGGTTTAATTGCTTAATTATTCTCACTAACCACATTTAATTGTGTACTTAAGCTTATTGCTTTGAATGCAATCATTTTTGTTTTGATTGCAGTCAAACAGCAATGGACCGAAGCGGGTTCCCCTGTCTCACCATTCACAAGCCATTCAGAAGGGTGCAGTCACACAGACTCAGCATCAGCGGGTTCTGGGCATGTCGAACGGGCCGCAGCGTATCCAGCGACCCGTTAGCCAGCAGAACCCTGTACCTCATGTTTCTGGAGCTATCAAGCACCCTCCTCCTGCTGACCAGAATGCAAACCCAGCCACTGTGAAACTAACTCCAGCACCACAGCCAAAACCCATTTCCCAGCATAACCAGCCAAAGACTCATGTGCCAGCTGGCCACTCGGACTCGACCAAGCCTCCGTCGGAACCAGCAAAGCAGGAGAAGCCGCAGTGTGAGTGCATCGCTGAGCTGGAGCAGGAAATGTCAGAGTTTTAAATGAATACTAAAATACTTATTTGCTGTTTTAGCCAAACCTGCCAAGGACAGTCGGGCCTCGTCATCAAAGTATGTAAAGTGAAAAAATACTTTTTAATACTTGTCATGCATTATGCAGTTTTAAAATAAGATGAGAGCTACATCCTGTTTTCAAACAGGAAACCATGGAGTCTGGAAAACTTTGACATTGGCCGTCCTTTGGGAAAGGGCAAGTTTGGCAATGTCTACTTGGCTAGAGAGCGCCAGACCAAATTCATCTTGGCCCTGAAGGTTCTCTTCAAGAAGCAGCTGGAGAAGGCAGGGGTAGAGCACCAGCTGAGGAGAGAAGTCGAGATCCAATCTCATCTAAGGTACAATGTGCTTATAATGAAATGTCAACCAACAGGTTGACTAAAACAGTTAAGCAGTTAACTTTATTGCACAAATCAATAGTTTTATCTTAAAAAATGCATTTTAGCTCACATTAGTTTCTCTGTTTTTAAGTTGTCTGCAGAACTTTGAATTATGTTCTGAATCTTTTTTTTTTTTTTTTTCTGCAGACATCCCAACATCCTTCGCCTCTATGGCTATTTTCACGATGCTTCTCGTGTGTATCTCATCCTTGAATATGCACCCAGAGGAGAGCTGTATGGCGAGCTGCAGCGCTGTGGGAGTTTCTCTGAGGACAGAACTGCAACAGTAACTGTCCCAATTTACCAGACAGGGACAATTTTTACAGAACTTGCATATGGTCTACTTAAAGCTCACAGATGTGATACTTCTTTTTTGCTTTTGTTGTTTTCAGTACATCATGGAGCTGGCAGATGCGCTCCACTACTGTCATACCAAGAATGTGATTCACAGAGACATCAAACCAGAGAACTTGTTGCTTGGAGGTAATGGGGAGCTGAAGATTGCTGATTTTGGTTGGTCTGTTCACACTCCATCTTCCAGGTATGTGCATGTTGACATGCCTTAGCATGCTCTGTAGTCATTTCAGATCTGACATATTCTGTTTTTCTTCCATACAGGAGGTCCACCCTGTGTGGAACACTAGACTACCTTCCCCCAGAGATGATCGAGGGCAAAACTCACGATGAGAAGGTGGACCTGTGGAGTCTGGGGGTCCTTTGCTATGAGTTTCTTGTCGGAAAACCTCCATTTGAAGCAAAAACTCACGATGAAACCTACCGTAGGATTTCAAGGGTAAGAATTCTGATGAAGTAGTTTTCATGTAAAATACACGCAATTCTTCAACTCCTAATTTTTGCAGGAGTTTTAGGGTAAAGACAGTAATACAAATATTTTGACTTTTTGGAGCACATAGATCCAAAAATAAATAAAAATCTCTTAGGTGAAGAAACCAGCTGATATGTTTTTAATTATTATTTTTGTTTTTAATTGACGTAGGTGGAGTACATTTACCCTCCACATCCTTCCATTAGTGCCGGAGCTAAAGACTTGGTGGCCAAGCTGCTGAAGCACAACCCCATGCAGAGGTTGCCCATTGAGGGAGTCCTCTCCCACCCCTGGGTGCTTGAATGCTCAACCAAGAAGCCCACGACTCTGAACAGTGAAGAGTCCAGTCAGTGACTGCACTCCCAACAGCTGGCTGTGCCTACACCGTCCTGCAGAACATCAACATGCAGCTGATTTTTCACAATCTGCTTCTTCTGCTTTGACTCTAAAAAGATTTTCCCAATGAGGATTTTTTTTTGTCTGCAGATACTTGAGCCACTTTGTCACCCTTTATCTTATCCTGAGTTTCTTCTCATTCTTTTGTCTGTAAATATTTCATTGTTAGTAATTATGAAAAAAAATTCTCAAGCTTTGGGAGATGTTACTTGAAATAGGAATACATTTTCTCCTATCCAATTTACATTTAGAAGCAGAAACATTTTGTTTAATCAATGAGATGTTTCTTGGTTGCAAGCCTTTTAGTCTCCAGGACTTGCACTTGCTGATCAAATTCAAGTATAGTTGTAACCCGAAGCACCCAGCAGAGGGCGCCACACAACCACTGAAACTGAGTTTGTTTTTCTCTTTTAAATAATATATTGGATTTTAATTGTGTTCATATGAGTTGGTTTATTTTTCAAGATAAAATTGAAAGAAGCCTTTCTTGTTTACAAAATGGAAATAAAAACAAATCTACATAATGAAAGATGGTTTCATCAGAGGATTTTACAAAGTGTTTTATTGGGGGGCAACTGAGGCTAAAGCAAACTGTTCATGTTTTTAACACATTTAACTGGCACAGGAAAAACATTTCTGTTTTTTCCATCTGTTTTCTTTGCATATGTGTAGCATTCTCATGTTTAAATACTTGTCTGTACTGCAGAACCGGATGCAGTCTAGAATAATTCCACTTAAGATGGACGGATAATTTTTTTGATGGACGATGCAGTACTTCTGCAGGAAAAAAACAAATTTTCCTGCAGAGTTACTGAAGGAAAATGATTAAAAACCAGCACTTCTTGATGCACATGCTGAATCAATTTCAGCTTTCAATGTATCTCTGGGCCAAAGATAATATTCTAATTTAAGTCATTCTATTGTTGATTTGGTTACTTGCACTCCCTGTGGTACTGTGAAAAAATATTTTTACAATTTTATTGCAGATTTTTTCTGTATACATTAAAAAAAAAATTAATAGACCTGTGGCATTTAGAAGTATTAACTTCATCAACCTTGTCAAGCATCTTAGTTCCATAAAAAGAAAAGTGCTCTCCTTTGTAGAAATGTTTTAATTCAGTTACCTTGGAAAATTTTCAAGTATGAACAGCATGTTTGAGATCATGCAGGCTTTGGGGAGGCCAGTCCTAAGGTCTATTTTGTTTTTGGTCATTCATAGGCGGCCTTGCTGTTGTGTGTTGGTTTACTCTCCTCCTGCAGAACCAAAGTGATTGGGCTTAAGGTTCTATAACTGCAGAATTTATTGGCAGAGATCAAACATGATTCAATCAACTATTAAAAGTTGTCCAGTTTGTTTTGTTTTTTTTCCCAATGGGGAATCTTAGTTTAATAATAATAAAAAAAATCCTCTAAAAATATATTTTTACTTGAAATTTAATTTCATCTTCATCCAATATTGGAATTTGCTTGATGACTTGAAACATTCAAGTGTTCCAATAAAGCGAAAGCACAAGAAGTAATGGACAAACACTTTGATAGTAACACTTTCATGATATGTATGCTTGACTAACCACCGTCGTTTCTGCTTATGTGTGTAATCTCTCTGTCCACTAGGTGTCTCCCTATTAACATTTGGAGAAGTAAAGGAGAACGTATATAGTGAAATGACTGCTATAAAGCTGGAATTCTCTGTTATTTTGGTGTGCAGACTGTAATACATAACTTTAAAAATTAATTTTACAGTTTATATAATTAAATGCTGTTATGGCTTTCTTTGCTGTTAGGGATCGCTCTAAATACAGAGAAAAAACAAATGTCTGTTTATTTATGTATGCCCTTCTTTTGCATGTGAACAGGCTCTTAAATCTGCTAGATGGAGCCCATCTGGTCGTTAGATTCGTTTGCAGTTGCCGTGATTTCCTGACATCTCCAAATGAAGCCACCCGGAAATAAATGGACGGCTCGTCCAGATGTTACCCGCATGTTCAGGAGGGAATCAACAGAGTGAATTAAAAGGAAGGCCTGATGCCCGCCTGCAGCAGGAAACTGTTCAAGCGCAAACATGCTGGCTCTTAAGTTCTCCATAGACACGAATGTAGAGTGAAATGACCAATTTACAGCTCGAATAGAAAATAAACTTAGAAAATCCTTTTTTTTTTAAATCTAAAAAAAGTATGACTCCTACCATCACCATCATTTTCTGTTTTATTATAGAGAAAAAAAATACATGTTCTGATCGTTCTTTTACATAAAACCACACACATTTTTTACAATATAATTTCACTTATTTCTTTATTCTTTAATATTAATTTCACAATATATGATCACCACTTTTGAGATATACATTCCATCTTTTTGAAACCACAATAACACACTACACATACGGGTTTTTTTAATAACATTTCCACAGGACCCATTGGATTGCACAGAATGAAAAATGTATGCACATTTTCCTCTTTGATAATCTCACTTGTATTAATTATGGTTTTCATTTCTTCCCCATATTTTTAGACATCGAAATTTTTAAAACTGGAGCGTATCAAATTAATTTTCATAAAACAGGGCCATGTGTGGATCTAGATGCGTTATTTTTAAATCCGGTGTGCAGTTTCAGTTCGGAGCTCCCACGCTGAGAGGAAACGGGGCTGGATGGAGAGGTCGGGGGGGGGGAAGAAGTTGAGATGGGACTTTGTTATTGCGTGTTGATAAGCTCAGAAACAACAACAAAAAAAGAGGAGTCTTGTGGAGGGGAAAAGGCCTGTCAAAGCATCAACACGTCCACGCCACTGAACCAGAACACTTCACATTTTTTGTATCTTCGTTCCATTTTCTGCAGCCTGTATCATACATTCAATGCATAGTTTGTACAGTTGCTCTCTTCTGATGTTTTAACACCGCCAACTTTTATTATCCGGGATATCCAGATTATTTTTTTTATTAAAAAGCAAAAACGTTCTTCGTCTTTGATGCAGATTAAGAAAAATCGGATTGTTGCACATATGTATGTGCTTTTCGGGTTTGTTTTTGGCTTTAACGCCACAGTCAGTCCCTGCAGTCACGCTGAAGTTTAAACTAAATTTAATCATCACTTTTCTTCCTTTCTTTCCTCTCAAACTCGATCATTGCGATCTGGGGAAGAAGCACCGCAAGAGCGACACGAGCGTCTGCCCTCTTTTTGCAACTTTTCTTAAGGTCAATGTAAACTTTCACTCCACTGGAAAATATGTTTGTGTTTCTTTTGTTCGCATATGTAGGCCTATAACACGTATCGACTGCGCGGACGCGTTAGACTCCATCGCTGCTGTTAGACTTGTGTGTGTAAAATACATGAGAGATAGTGCGCAAATGTGTGTGTGTGCTCAGTGCGCGCTTTTACGCATGAATCAAGCAGAGGGGAAGGAGCGCACGCCGCTTAGTGTTTGTGTGTTTTTAATGTTTTCACTAAATGGGAATTAGCAGTTAACGAGTACAGGTTCATCTCAGCAAACTAAAATATAACCGGAAAACCAATTTAGTTCAGCAAAATAAAAGTGAAGCATATTTCATAGAGTCGTTACAGGCGGTGAGACGTCGCTGTTTCAAGCGTCTATTGCGACTGTAAGGTTTACAGTAAATGAAAACCTCACATTCAGTTTCTGAGAAAGTTAGAACATTATATAGGACCAGATGTAAAAAGGATTTTAAACCACAAATATTCTCAAAGCCGTTTAGCTCAGGAGCGTTTGCAGGCCAGTCAAGCATAGTGACGCAATGGTCAATAAAGTGAAGCATGAGATTATCTAAGTTTTTCCTGGTAGAAGGTCTGATTCTGGACTTCATAAAACACAACACGAGCAGATGACAAGAATCTTCACTGGATGTGAAAAATTTTCCTCTGGACTTCAAACAACTCGGATTGTAAACTAGTCTTCCACAATCTTGGGTTTGGATTGATTTCTAAATTAAATTGAAATTAACTTTCATTTCTAGCAAGAGAACTTTGAATCATTTAAACCAGTTGCTTTTATTCTTACCTTAATCAAGACAATTCTGACATTGACTCCAGCTGCGATCTGGATCGTTCTGTGTGGTGCCTCTCTGACTTTTAAGCTCTGACGTTTCCACGCCAGGCAAACGTTAACATGGTTTTGCTTCACCATCCTTGTTGACATATGTGGACCTAGATTCTGACTCATTCAGACGACCATTTAAAGTGCTCAAGCAACTGGGTATTTTCTCTAATTCTTTTTTTTTTTTTTTTCACAATTTTTCCTTCCACTTAACTTTCAACCTTCAACCAGCGTTTTAGTGATGAACTTTTTCTGGGTTGCTCTTTTTGCTCAGGGTGCCAGTGACTGATGAACAGTTTTGACTTGAAAACTGCTATGGTAATAATATCACATATTTGTATCAAAATTGATCTTTTTATTGGTCTATAGAATATTTTCTTTCTTAAAGTAACTGAATTTGGGGTTTTCATTTCATATAGGCAAAATTACTAGAAAATAAACTGAATTAGTCAAATAAATTTGCTTTATGATTCTATTCTAATTTATTGAGATGCATCGGTACTCCAGTGATTCGTCTCTATTCTTCTATGTTATATTTGAAAGCCTCTATGAGCCCCTCCATGGAGTGGATGAAACCAGATATGCTGCATATACCGCCTATTACAAAGATGGACACGTCAAAGAACACCTGGTGCCACTGAAGCTTTCTCCATAAGAGCTTGAGGTGGAAGATGCTGGGAAGCAGAAAGCAGAGCCCGGCGCCCGTCAGGCTGCCGGTGAGGCCCATGAGCAGGGCGAAGTGCGGCACATAGATCGCCATAAGCAAGGTGAACACCACTAGTATGCATCGGAGAGTCAGTCCCCAGGACTTTAGGCGCCCATCGCCTCCGTAGCAGTCCGGAAAGAAGGCGCGGCCCCCGTCCTGGAAGAAGGATTTCTCCAACACCTCCACGGCGGCGAAAAAGGGCAGCGGGTAGGACAGCAAAGCTTTGGCCACCAGGAAGAGGTTGACCACGGCTCGGATAGTTGGTGGCAGGTTGTCTGTGATCACCTCCTTGGTTTCGTCTGCCCAGGTCAGGTAGGCCACCAGGGCGAACAGGCCCTTGAGGATACAGGCAGCGATGTGAGTCCATTTCATCATGCAGTGGAACTCGCTGGGTTTCTGCATGTTCCCCTCCAGGGACGGCAGGAAGATCTGCGAGGTGTAGCTGAACACGATAATCCCAATGGAGATGGGGAACTTCTTGACATCGATGTAAAACTTGACCTTGTCCCAGGCCCAGTCCCTCGCCCTGGACAGGCAGTAGGCGATCACCAGGACGTTGATGATGAAATGCGCCAGCGTGCACAACAAGCTGAACTTGGAGACGGCTTTCAGGTTCTTGAGGAAGGCGCAGGGGAGCAGAGCGGCGGTGGCGATGATGGCCCAAGACTTCTGGGAGATGGGCATGTTGGGGAAGCTGTTGTACATGAGATTCCCGCTGACGACCACGTACAGAATACAGGTCATCACCAGCTCTATGATCTGAGCTACATTCACGACGTGACCACCCAGAGTTGGGAACCTGGGCGCGCAGCAGGCGTTGGCAATGTCCACATAGGAGTCCCTCACACGGACGAGCTGCCCGTCTTCGTCCTCCTCGTACAGGCAGGCGATGAGGATTTTCCCCGTGTAGCAGCACACCACGGCGGCGAAAATAATGAGAAAGAGTCCGAGGTATCCTCCATGCAGGATGGCGTAGGGCAAGCCCAGAACGAACATCCCCTGGGAACAGAAAGTACAAAAACATTGGCTGGTGTGGTCAGGTTGTACTGAGCAGACCCTCAGGGGCGCATCCAGAAAGTTTGGCTGTGGTGAACAGATGGGGGCAGTTGTATTGTTTTGGGGTGGCTACACCAAAACCAAAAGCAAGAGAACTTCAGGAGCTTTTTATTGGTTCTTAGCTAAGTTGGACAAACAAACAAATACATAGGTAGATCAATACCTGTATACAAACTAAATTAGCTGATTTTGTTATGTTGACCATCATACCATGATGCCACAATTTTTTTTGTGAAGCAATTACTGCATTAATTAAATTGCAACTTATTGAACTTTGTCTTTTCTTCTCTTAAATTTTCCCGAGTCATTGATATTAGTCAGGAAGTGACATCACTGCCATATTATTAAGGGCTCCAGCAGGGAGACCCTCAAGACCCCTTGAATACTTGCACAGAATATAAATCTCAAAACTTTGGATTTGTAGTTTCATCTATCCAAAAGGAGCCCACATTTAAGAGACCAAAGGATAAACATTGATAAGATTATACACCCATTTATTTGTATCAATGTGCATCATGTTTATCTCTTCTTTGAATGTCTGTCAGCTGATGTTTGCTACTTGAAAGTATAAGTCGAATGACCACGTTGTTTAAAAAATGATAAAAAAGATCAAGATTGTTAAAAAAAATTTTTTGTGAAATATAAATGTCAAGTTCTAAATAATACTCTTTTAGATGTGTTTAGTGTCTGCTTGATTTATATATATAAGTTTCTTTTTCTGCTTGGAAAAGCAATACATTAAACAAATGAACATCTCTATAAAATTTTCTTATTCTTTTTATTAATATAATAACAAGAAGTGAGAGTAAAGTCAAATGTATTCAGTGCTAAAGTTAATTTAATAGTTGTTTACTGTTCCTGTAAACCACTAGACAATACTTAGAGGTGCTGTGGCTGGTGGGCAACGGGGCTAACTGGCTTAGTTAAAGCATCTCTTTGGGCCCCATGTTATCTCAGACCGGCCCTGTCCGCTTGCAGCGTGTGCATGTGCGGCTGCACAGCGTGACTATACAGAAGTTGTCATGTTTTTCATGTTGTGGGTTTTCCACATGGCTTTGAGCGCATCCCCCCGCTTCTGACGTCATCGCAGACTGAGGAGACACACTCTGACGTCACGCCATGAACACAGCATTAAAAGGAACTGCGTGGATGGAGGAATTTTTGTCGCATAGCCCCCTACAGCAGTGCGCACTCACGAGTCTCTACTCCTAATTTCTGCAGCTTTTTGTCTCTCAATGAGAGGTTTTTTTTTTTTTTATAATTTATTTTATTCAATAAAATTATTATTTTCCTTGTGGAATTCACCCCACTTTTTTTTGTTAAGTCTTAAATGCTCTAATAGCTCCTTAATTTTTATTTTCCTACAGAACAATATGCTCGTTTTGGTATATAAAAAAGAAAGAGTTGATCCTGTTTGCCTTATCGGTCTATCAAGATCAACATCATAGACCGTTGAAATTACTACAGACAAAGAATATGTGTTAAGGGGAGGGGGGTTAACGGTACTAGGACATCATATATCTTTCACTTTTATTAATGCATGAGCCAATTCTAAATCAATGCCCTCCTCTGATAATAATTAAAAAGCCACAATCAATAAAAGTCACAAACTTATTTAAATTATAAATTATTTTTCGTTTTCTTTTTCTCTCAGTCTCTTTTCAGGTGTGCATTATTCTCATATTTCACAGATATCACGGCGGTTCAACCAATTAGAACTGAGTCTTTACCTGGATTGCGTTCGTGACGTTCCAGCCCGCTTCCCAGGCGGTGATTTTTGGTTTAACTTCGGACAACTCGTTGTTCGAGCTCCCGTCCTTGGAGGCAGAGAGCGGCGGACCGGTGCCGTCTCTCTGGTAGTGGCTGTCCCCCTCCAGCCCGCCGCCGTCTCCGCCACCCTCTCCTCCGATCTCGTCGGAGGACAGAATGTCCATCTGCATGCCCTGACGGTGGTCGTAATCCAGGTCGTCGCAGGAGGCAAAGCCCAGACCCTCCTCGTCCGTGGCGGCCTGGAAGCCCATCCTGGCGAACATGCCGCTCACCTTTGCCGTGGATTTGTTGGACACAGCCGTGGCTGCGTTTGACAGTTTATTAGAGATCTTGCCTCTTATTAACGTCGCCATTTTTCCTCCTCTGTTGACTCTAAACTGTCCACTGACTAATTAGATGCTTTTTCTTCCTTTCCCCCGTCACTCAATGAAAAATGAGGCTACTGTGTTCTGCAGCTCTTTAATCTCAGCATGAGATGAAACCAAAAGGAAAATCGCAAGTTTGGCTTCAAGACACGACGGTTTTCAGTTGCTATCTCCACTTCTTGTTGCGTGTGCGGCTGATGCTCTGGACTATCCCCAGGTTCATGTCACCTTCAGACGTCGCTGCTCCGCTTCTGCATCCTGGCGCTGCGATCTGACGCTCGACCAGTGTAAGCGCACCTTTTCAGTCTCCGAGGCGCTGTGCGCAAAAGCTTTACGCACGACCAGAAAAAAAAAAGGAAAAAGAAAAAGAAAAAAAAAAAAGTCAAGCCACAGGTTGCTGCGGGGACTGTGCTGTGGGTTCTTTATTTTAGGGGGTAGCTATAAGGTGGCAAGCAGCTTTCCCCAGGAGTTCAGGTGCCTCTACTGATGCCAATGCGGTACCGTTGAGCCCGGATAGGGGGAGGCAGGGACGAGACACGTGTCCTCAGCCGCCTGCCAATGCAAAGCACGTCTCCAGCCCTCCCAGTGCCCCACCAGGAGAAAACGGGAGAGATTTGCTGCATTTCTAGGGGAGGTGCTTGCTGCACCCCGACCAGCTCTCCCCCAACCTAGAATCTATTATGCCTCATCTTAACATCCAATGGCATTCCGAGGGCCTCAAATCTTGCATAACTTTACGAGTATAAAGGGGGGTATGAAAGTGAAGAAACCCGAATCTTTGGAGCAGAAAATATTACACAGAAATCTAGAAGCTTTTCAATTTTATAACTGTAAAAGTTTTCCAAATTTATCTTCAGCGAAGAAGAGAGAGAGGCATCAATGGGATTATTCTGGACCGCGTTGATCGGCGTTAGGTTTGTTGATGCTCGAAGGGATTTCTCTTTGTTTTTGGTGAAATTTTAGGGAGAAAAAAAAATCAAAACGGCAGTTTCAGTTTGAAAGAATAATATTTTTTAATGAATGGGAACTTTGTCTTCTTTCGTTTCAGGGCGCATGCAATTCTGAAGTATCTGCAAAAAATGTTCCATTTTCGGAGGCACAAACCCCAACCACCAGGTTGCTTATAGAAATGTAAAATTTCGTCCTTGTCCGAGGTTTGCCTTCTCTCTGTCTCTCTCTAAGAGAATCTTTTAGAATCATTATTTATTAGTTTATTTTTTAAAAAATCGCATTCCAAAAAGACCAGCTTTGTGTTCTTAATGCAAAACTAAAATAATGATAATAATAAAAATAAATATTTTCTGAATTTAAAAGATATGACGAAACACTTCCGTAATCCCCATTCATTGAAATACGCATTCATGGAGCTGCTGTGTAACACAGACCCACATTCCTGTAATCATTTCGCAGGCGGTGCCTTGTCAGTAGTACTTTGTGTTCTCTGTATCCTCAGACTGCCTCCAGGCTGCAGAATCTGAGTCTCACCAGGACACCAAGCTGCGGCCTATTCGACTCGATGCGCCACTTCAGCCTGTAGTAACACAGACTAACCTGCATCTGCTGCAACCTTGCTGTTCTTTAGTAAAAATAACGAAGTGTCATATTTAAATCTCCGATTCTGACATAAAATACAAGTCTGAGTAAAAGCTTTATTATTATTATTATTATTATTATTATTATTAATTTTATTTTTTAAGCCTTTCTAAATTGTTAGATTAAAGCAAACAGTGCTATCTAACAATATGTTTGATACGTTGGTCCTCAGTTCAGTAATTATGAAACTTCTCGACTAAAATGTTTTGACTTCAACACAATTTAATATTTTAAGGGTAGAATCAACGCACAAAAGCCAAACCACACCTCCGACGCATGCGGGCTACCGGGGCAGCACCATCCGGCCTTTGCATCACCAGTAAAACCGTACGAATACGAGGCCAATAAATCGGTCGCTCTGCTTTGTCCGTCCTGTCCTTTGTGTGTGCAAACGAGTGTGTGTTTTTCCGCTACGTGGGAACGAAAATGGCTGCTGCTTTGAATGAAAGAGTTAATGACGGAGCTGTTATCAGCGGGCTGCAGACCTGCTCAGATTTGCGCTCTGAGCTGCCTGATGGAGTGCGCCGCAGGATGAAAAGAGCAGCTCTGACACCACCAGCCCGAAGGTCACAGCGGCTTCCCAGCACCCACTGTAGTAGTAGTAGTAGTAGTAGTAGTAGTAATAATAATAATAATAATAATAATAATAATAATATAATAATAATAATAATAATAACAATAATAATAATAATAGCAGATTTATTCACAAATATCACGACTTTAGACATTTCAGTGATGCACATTGCCAAAACTTATTGTAAAAGACGCAAGGAATAAATGCGTCCCGCTGTCCATCACCCACGCCGGGTGTCACTGAAGGGTCAGGGTGCCAAGTCCCGGGAGGATCCATCCATGTCAGCATAAATATGACCAATCATAGCCCCTTATCGCTACTGCCAGGGCGGTTTTGTGTTTGACCCACATGTCCGGTGGTGATACAGACGGGAATCCGGAGTACTATGTTGTGTACAGGATTTGTGGTCAAATCTATTTTCTCTGGGGTCCGACAGTCGCATCTCCCCCTCTTCCTCCTCTTCTCCTCCTCAATTTCAGCCCCCTGACTCTCTTTTTTCGCATTACACACATGGGTGAGCTGGCACACGGTTCTCCGCCCTCTCGCAGTGGCTCCCTCCCCATCCTCCACACGACTCCTGCAGCGCTCCCCTCCGCCCCCAATGTTTTCCCCAAATTCACAAAAATAATTTTCGATTTCTGGCCGCATTTCCTTTTTTGAATAAGCCGCTTTAAAACGCACACCAGAGCAAAATAAAAGGGAAACATTCATTACACAGGCCTTTTTTTCGGTAGATAATGGCTTTGTTCACATGGCTTCCCCGACTAATTTCGCTTATGTCTCCTTCCACTCCAGACATTGAAAGATTTCTCTAAGATAATAAGATAAGGTTTAGCAAGGCGATCTCTTTGCGTCGCGTAAACGCGAGAAGAGACTGCGGGGTGCATGTATATATATATATATATATATATATATATATATATATATATATATATATATATATATATATATATATATATATATATATATATATATATATATATAACATGCACACGGCCAAGACTGAGACAACAAAAGAGGAGCTGAGTAAAATGAAATGCACAAAGCGATGCAGTCGCTTTAATTTTTTTTTTTTTATTGGAAACTGCACCACATTATGTGCCATTTAACCCATGATCACCTGCCTGTCTTTCTGCTGCTGCGCCCATCCATCAGCTCAGCGAGGCAGAAAACACAGTCAACGCTCCTGAATTGAGAGGGGGACGGTGAAAAGGCTCTCTGCGCTCTCTGGGGAGCGCAGAGGAGGGGAAATTAGCCAACATCAGGCCTAATCAGAGGACCTCAGAGTCCATTAACATTTGCATCACAATCACAGGTACAGTGAAGTGCTTGCGGCTGGAAACGCAAGGGCGCTGTTTGCACTGAGCTGATTTCAGTGATTTCAGAAATCTGCCAGCGCGGACTGATATTCAGCACCTTGGACAGAGTCTGGTTGCGCCAGAGATGAGAAACTTCAAGGAGGTTTAGAGGCTCATTGTGAAGCGCTTTGTAATAACTGATACGACTTACAGAATTAATTGTTTACTTATTTTATTGTTCCTTGTGACTTTGGTGATCATCCACTGAGCTGCCAACCTGGATTGAGATATATAAAAAAATATCTATTCTATTCTATTCTATTCTATTCTATTCTATTCTATTCTATTCTATTCTATTCTATTCTATTCTATTCTCTTCTATTCTATTTTCTCGAAGAAAAACTGAAAAAGCTGTAATGCCAGTACAATCAGTGTTCCTTAATAGTTTCAATAGAACATTTCATTTGTTCCCAATGAACAGAAATTTGTTCAAAGTAGGTCTGAACATATGAACGTAATTGCAATTTATCGTTGCACCTCTAAAAAACAACCAATCAAAGGTATGCTGAGTCTGTGTGACAGCGACGTTTCAAGAGAAACTGAATCTTTTATCTGAACGTGTCCATGGTGTTGTCTACGCACCACATCCCCGCTGGTGCTGTTAAGGAAGACGGCAGTTTTAGACACATGCAGACACATTTTTCGTCTCATCCCATCACTGCAGCAGCCGCAAAGTCATCAGATCATCACAGCCACCGCCCACTTCCACAGAGAGACAAATCCAGGTGGCCCGCAGTGGTAAAACCACTCAGAGCCTTTTCATTACTCCTAATGCGTCTGTTTAATGGCTTATTATGGACTCCCGAGAGGGTTCCTGGAGAGGAATTAGTCCTGCATGGTGGCTTCTGTCTGCCCAACAATGATACATAACGGGAGAAATGATTCTACTCACTCACTCTATCTATCTATCTATCTATCTATCTATCTATCTATCTATCTATCTATCTATCTATCTATCTATCTATCTATCTATCTATCTATCTATCTATCTATCTATCTATCTATCTATCTATCTATCTATCTATCTATCTATCTATCTATCTATCTATCTATCTATCTATCTATCTATCTATCTATCTAGTACTGTGAGTTTATCATTCCTTTGAAACGCTCCCCAGACGCCGTTTTGCTGTTAACCCACAGTGACTCTGCTCTCTCCATCAACCTTTCTTGTCCTCCTTCCCGGGTCTACTCTCCTGCTGCGACACATTAACATTGTAATTGCCTTTTTTTGAGCACAATAAACGGAGCCGGTCCGCTGGGACCCGCATGGCCCCGGGAGCTGGCACACAGTCTTGCCATCGATTTTTCACACTCACCGCTTCTCACCGCCGCCATCGCTGTTGGAGAAAAGAAAAGAAGAAAATAAATAAATAAATAAATAAAAAATAAAACAGAAGAAACAAATCAGAGCCGTCAACAAACACAGACCTGATCTGAACATGCATGATGTGTTTGTTTCCGGGTTTCTGCTGAACATCTGACGCATGCCCGCAGGCGAGTCTGATGAAACGTTTCAGGAAACAGAGCTAATTGTTTCTTAAATGCTGCGTTCAAAGACGCAAATGTTCATTACCATGCCCTGCTATTATCAGGCCTAATTTGGAAATGCATGTACGTTATCAACAAAATACCGACGTTTCCTGTGTTGATCAGGGATTTAGGTGATGCTAAATAATCAATACCCATCACATTTGATCTACCCCACTTCCGTAAGAACTCCTGTCTGTATTTACACTCTGAGGTCAGCACAGGAAGGATGTTTGTATGTGTGAGCCGAGAGCAGAGTCAATGGAGGAGCAGACCTTAGAGGCTGCTCTCCTGATGTGTTACAGTTTTGTTCTCATTAAAGTTTGATGTCATGAAAGCAGTGACATCTTGTCGGCTCTCACAGGGATTCTCTGCCTGATAATCTTGATTTCTAAGCCTGCAGCCACCAAGTCCGTCTGTACCACCTTACACTGCACAATTTAACAAGTTAGTTTTTAAAAAGTCTAAGTGAATTCATATCTTTTGTAAATTCTCTTGGTACTTTCCTCAGAATCCCCACCTGTCTCCCACCAGCAATCACTGC